CGTCGAACATCGACGTCATAAACACCAAAGTTGATCGTGTTTATGACGTCGAATATCGACGTCATAAACACCAAAGTTGATCGTGTTTATGACGTCGAATATCGACGTCATAAACACCAAAGTTGATCGTGTTTATGACGTCGAATATCGACGTCATAAACACCAAAGTTGATCGTGTTTATGACGTCGATATTCGACGTCATAAACACCAAAGTTGATCGTGTTTATGACGTCGAATATCGACGTCATAAACACCTAAGTTTATCGTGTTTATGACGTCGAATATCGACGCCATAAACACCAAAGTTGACCGTGTTTATGACGTCGACTATCGACGTCATAAACACCAAAGTTGATCGTGTTTATGACGTCGAATATCGACGTCATAAACACCAAAATTGATCGTGTTTATGACTTCGAATATTGACGTCATAAACATCAAAGTTGATCGTGTTTATGACGTCGAATATCAACGTCATAAACACCAAAGTTGATCGTGTTGATGACGTCGAATATCGACGTTATAAGCATCTAAGTTGATCGTGTTTATGACGTCGAATATCAACGTCATAAATATCTAAGTTGATCGTGTTTATGACGTCGAACATCGACGTCATCAACACTATAGTTGATCGTGTTTATGACGTCGAATACCGACGCCATAAACACCAAAGTTGATCGTGTTATGACGTCGAATATCGACGTCATAAACACCAAAGTTGATCGTGTTTATGACGTCGAATATCGACGTCATAAACACCAAAGTTGATCGTGTTTATGACGTCGATTTTCGACGTCATAAACACCAAAGTTGATCGTGTTTATGACGTCGAATATACGACGTCATAAACACCAAAGTTGATCGTGTTTATGACGTCGAATATCGACGTCATAAACACCAAAGTTGATCGTGTTTATGACGTCGAATATCGACGTCATAAACACCAAAGTTGATCGTGTTTATGACGTCGAATATCGACGTCATAAACACCAAAGTTGATCGTGTTTATACCTCGAATATCGACGTCATAAACATCAAAGTTGATCGTGTTTATGACGTCGAATATCGACGTCATAAACACCAAAGTTGATCGTGTTTATGACGTCGCATATCGACGTCATAAACACCAAAGTTGTTCGTGTTTATGACGTCGAATATCGACGTCATAAACACCAAAGTTGATCGTGTTTATGACGTCGAATATCGACGTCATAAACACCAAAGTTGTTCGTTTTTATGACGTCGAATATCGACGTCATAAACACCAAAGTTGATCGTGTTTATGACGTCGAATATCGACGTCATAAACACCAAAGTTGTTCGTGTTTATGACGTCGAATATCGAAGTCATAAACACCAAAGTTGATCGTGTTTATGACGTCGAATATCGACGTCATAAACACCAAAGTTGATCGTGTTTATGACGTCGAATATCGACGTCATAAACATCAAAATTGATCATGTTTCTGACGTCGAATATCGACGTCATAAACACCAAACTTGTTCGTGTTTATGACGTCGAATATCGACGTCATAAACACCAAAGTTGATCGTGTTTATGACGTCGAATATCGACGTCATAAACACCAAAGTTGATCGTGTTTATGACGTCGAATATCGACGTCATAAACACCAAAGTTGATCGTGTTTAT